TGAGACTAGGAATGGTAAAATTTCTGTAATGTTTCTATGATAAGGTGCTAAATGGTTGACAGAATGTTATTTTCTGGAAAGTTGCTTTTGAGCTGTAGTGCTATGAGTTTTCGTTTTTTATTTTTCTGTTTACAGCCTGCTCCACCAAGAGAAGCACACTTTGTGAGAACTAATGGCAAGGATCCAGAGCTGCTGGAGCCAATTCCTTATGAATTCATGGCATAATCTATGTTTAAAAAATAAAGAGATGGTTTTGGACAAGTGTATGTGATTGTGGCTGATTCATTTAGTTGGTTTTGTTTTTTTTTTTGTTTGAACAGATGATTTAGAAACCTTCTTTTATTGAAGTTTATTTATTTAGCTTGCATTTACCATGATGCTTAGTCATTTAAATCATCTGCAGCTTTTGCTGATGAGTTTTGTCATTTATATAGATGATAAATGCTAGGAACACTGAAATTTGCTAGTGCTTAGTAATGATCATAAGCTGTTATGAGGGGACATGGAATATTTCACCAGAAAACTAAGAACTTGTATCAAGAACTGCCCAGTTCACTTAAAAGGCTGGATTTTTTCTTTTTGTAGGAAAAGAAATAAGGGGCTTCAGATTTCATTGACGCAAGGTTTTGGCTAAGGGGCCTCATGAATACCAAGGAATTGTCTAAACTATTTTTGAAAATAAGGAAATGTCTATAGTGAGATTTTGTCTTCGACCATTGTAACCTGTGAAATAATGTTTACAGCATGCCCGTGCCAATAAGCATTCTTACAAAATAGTAGTAGTTTAGAAACAAGGGTTTAATTCCAAAACAGCCAGCCTTTGTATTTTGATTTTTGACATTTTAATTGGCTGGCATAGCTAAACTCTTTCATTTTATATGTTTATTGTATGCCTGTTGAATGTTGCAGTGAATTCCTCTCATCACAGATTTACTGATGTCTCAAAAGAGCCCAGTGCTACCTGTGCAATTCTTAAATGGAAGATCTTCAGCTGACTCTTTACTAGGCAGTTCTGGTTTAGTGAGCTTTGCTTGAAGCAGTGTGAAGCTTGCTAGAGACTGCTGAAGGGAACCTGCTTGGTTAGCCTTGAAATCACACAATCTCAGGCTTAGTTTTGTAGTTACAGGTAAATAATAGTTTACCTTGAAGTGTCGTGTCAGGCACTGCTCATCTACCTTCTGTAAATGATGTAAAACTAAAGTCCACGTGACTAGAGAAGCAAGTGTCCTCAAGCTGTAGGTGTTGGCTGTTGAAAGTTACTGAACAGTGAATTGCAGGGCAGCTTGTAAGTGTGGGCGTAAGGAGCAGAGACACGAGTTTTGCTTTTTACCTAACGCAGTTGTGGGTGTTCCTGTTCTCATGGAATGTAGGTTTCAGACCTTGAATTCAGAGTCTGGCTTGGGCTGGTATTTAAGGGTGATGGGCTTTAGATGCTGGAGTTTTCAAGTTCTAGTGAGCAGATTGCTATGTTTGAGGTTCTCCAAGCTCCCATCTCAGAAGGTGCAGCAGGCTGTTTAGCTGGAATGACTTTGGAAGTGACTTGGAGGAGCTTGCCCCTTTATCAGGCTGCTCCATGACAGTAGTGCTGTATTCTGACACCAGAGGTGTTGGACATGGGGTGCACCACTGTGTCCTGAAGCCCTCACTGTTCCACCTTACACACTTGGCTTTTATGGTCAAGGGCTCTTCTTGGAGCAGCAGGATTTGTGTACTTCATCAGCCTCTTTGGCTTGTTAGTTTCCACAGCCATTTAAAATTGCTATTTGCCTTCCAAGATAAGCATCATTTTCCACTAGGCTTTGCAGGAATTAAGGGGGAGGGTATTGGATACAAACTTTGGTGATGGCATTTTAAATTTGCTTCTCATGCATGCATGTCTAAGCTATTTTGGTTCTGTGTTTGGTTTGTACTCATTTGTCAAAATCACAGAGGATTAGCTGTAGCAGCAGGATGAAATGATTAACATCATAAGTGGGGCATAGTTCTAAACTTTTGAACTTTCAACTATTTGGAATAATAAGACTGGACAGCATTACCGTGGTCTTGTTTAAGAGCTGTGCTTCCAGAGACACCACATTGCAACACTTTCCAATTTATTTAGAAGAACTGTTTTTAAGGTCACTATGCCAACAGTAGTTGGTTATAAATGCATATTTGGAAGCCCTGTGTGGGCTGGGAAGAGAGAGGGAAGTCTTTCCTTGGTCAGGATTCCCAGAAATGACTGAAAATGAAGCTGACTTTGTACAGGAAGAAAATAACCTTTTTTTTGGTTTTGTTTTTAGTGTTTGGAAACAGGACAAATAAACTAAGGTGTAACCTGCTTGTTTGTTGCACTCAGTGCAGTGGGGGTTTTCATGCTCATCTGAAGCTTGCAGAAGCACAGCCCAGACACTTAGCAGACCTCGATACCTGCTGCTGAAGTTTGCTTCCTGTCCGTATGGCTGCCCTGTTTTTGCACAATCCTGACGAAAGAGGGAGATCTGTGAATTGGGAAAAGCTGAAGAACTGCCTGTTGGGCATCTCCAGTCCTGGGCTGAAACATATGAAGCATGTTCCTTACAGGGTTTGGAGTCACCAGTTTTGACTTGCCCTGGAAGGGGTTTTACACTCTAAACCCATAAGCTGTAACCAGTTCTCCCTCCTTTACAGCCACAAACCTTTACTGCTGGTTCCCTGCCAAAAGCCCTGACAAAATCTCCTGTTGTCTCCTAGAGAAGCAGCAAGGAAGCTGCCTTCTGAGCTGTCGGCTTCATCTTTTTTAGCATATTGGCAGCACCAGGATTTGAGGTTTCCTGAGCACTGTGTAGGCAGCGTTAGGCAGGGAAGGTCAGTGGAAAGGCAGGAGGGACTGGGAAGGGGGAGGAGGAACCATTGTCAGTGCAGAGGCTGTATGGGGTGGGAACATTGCTCCCGCCAGCAGCACCCGTACAGCTTAGGAACCCAGAAAAATAAAAAAAGAAGCTCCAAGTGCTCTCAGGATGCCATCCCTGCCACTGTCACAGGAGCAAGCCACCTACTCTCCCCCCAAAAGTACTGCTGTTGAACATTGCAGAGCTTGGACCAGGGAGATGTGTCAGGCAGCAGTACGGTGTACCTGGCACTGGGCAGTGTTGCTGTGGGAAAGGGGGTAGTGATGGGCTGTAGGGACAGTGGTGTAGGCCATCTGCAGAGGTGGGTGACAAAGTACAGCCTGGCACTTCCAAGTGGTGCCAGCAGAGCACAGAAAGGCCCTTTGGAATAGCTTTGAGGCCCACACATCCCAGTGGTGCTTAGTCTGCAGAATGGGGACAGCTAATCTGAGCCCCAACTGCTTCAGTTTACTGAGCTGCTCCTGTTGCACCTGGGTAGGTGTTGATGGAGACATAGTCCATCACACCCTGGACATTAATTCCTCCACAGGGCGTCCTACTTGGGCTTGGGTAATGTTATCTCTCTGCTTGACCGCCCCCATGTGCCTTTGGGGGTGCTCCCAGCAGCAGGCAAGGCAGCTTGAGCTGTACAGGTGCCCATAAAGAGGCAGCTTCTCAAGGTTTGAGAAGGGCGGCTGTTTAATATTGCTTTCACAGCTCAGCGCCTGGGAATCATCTGCCCGGAACGGACTTGTTTCAGTAGCATTCTTTCAGAGGCACACTGAATGTACTCTGATAGCTCTTTTGTAAAGAAATGTATAAAAATAGCTGCTGCCGGCACTGTGAGTGAGGTCAAAGACAAGCAATCCCCTGACAATAGGAGCAGATGACAATAACAGGAACCTCTGGAAACCAAGAGTTTTTGGTGATACAAGAGAAATCTTGTTTCTTAAAAGAAAAGAGCTTTCTGGCATCATGGGGAGTAAAGCAGAAACTTCAGGGGCAATAGGTTTTGGAAGTTGAAAGATGCCCTGGAAGTTAAAAGAAACCCATAGGGGTTCTTAGGCACTAGAGCAGCACAAACAATCAACCGCGCTTCTTCCACCGTGCTTTTCTGCAGGTACTGCTTTAAGTGATGTTACTTAGTATTATCTTAACTCAGCTGCCTGTGTGTGAGCATCCAGGGTCACTTGGCCTGTCTAAGCATCAGCCTGCATCTGGGGCCCAGCAGCTCTCAGGATGGCTCCATCCCTCTGTGCCATGAGATCAGTCCATTCGAGTACCACCCACTGTCCTCTTCCATGTTGTGTCCTGCTGGCATGTGCTATCTCCTTGAAAAAAATTAAAGCAGCCTCTGAATAGGTTTTTTTCTCTTTTAAGCACTTACAATTGCAAGGCAGTACACAGCCGAAGCAAGAGACAGGGCAATGGTTTGTGGAGACTGAAACATCTGCACAGCTGCTTGCAGGTCTGAGGCTCATTTATGGGTAGCCCATGGTGGAGCACCATTCTCCAGAACTTTTCTGCTTCAAAAACCCAAAGAGCCCAATCAAGACCACTTAGGTTTCAGGGCTGGCAGTTGCTTAATTCACAAGCTGGGTTTTCAACGCCAGCTGTAGAGGGTTGTGTTCAGGTGTGGGAAACAAAACAGTCTGAGGTAAAATAATAATTTCCTTTCTTTCAAGACTGGCGTCCCGATCTGCAAGGAGGGTGGCGCATTTTCCCGTCTGCCTCGGGCCGGGGGGATGCCCAGCAGGGTGCTCGCCCCAAACGTGGGACACAGCTTGCATGGCCTGCCGAGGCTGTCCCCAAGACTCTGCTGCCTGTGCACGCCGGGGCCACCCCACGCCCTGGCAGCGGGGAGGGTGGGAGAAAGGGCGAGGGGTGCAACCTAGGGTGGGCAGGGCCGGAGAGGGCTGCAGGGGCGCGGCCGGGCTGGAGGGCCGCGGGGCGGTGCCGCCGGGGGGCCGGGCCGGTGGCAGCAGAAGCGGGCCGGGGCGGGGCAGCGGTGGCGGTGGCGGTGGCGGGGCGGTGCCACGGGCGGTGCTGCCACTGGGGCTTTTAAAAGCCACCGGGGCCGCCCGCTCTGGGCGCTGCCGGCCGAGCCGAGCGGAGCCGTCCGAGCCCTCCGGCTGCGGAGCCGCCTCTCCCATGCGCCTGCCGAGCATGTCCCAGCCCTTCCTGCTGGCGCCCATCGCCGAGTGCCCCCCAGGGCCGCCCGGCGCCCAGCTCCGCCTGGCCGTGCTGGGTGCCCGCGGCGTCGGCAAGAGCGGTGAGTGCGGGGCTGCCCGGCCCCGGCCCCCTTCCCCTGCCCGCCCGTCCCGCCTAACGCGGCGCTCTGTGTTTCAGCCATGATCGTGCGGTTCCTGACCAAGCGCTTCATCGGCGACTACGAGCCCAACACAGGTGAGGCGGGGGGCGGTGGGACAGGGCGTGGCGGGGCCCCGCGTCAGGCGGCTCACGGCTCTCTGCTCCCCAGGCAACCTCTACTCCCGGCTGGTCCATCTGGACGGGGACCACGTTGCCGTACAGATCCAAGACACGCCGGGATGCATCCAGGTACGGAGATATTTTGGCTCAATCAGTTCTCCTCTGCTACCCAAAGGCTTGGCTTTTGAGCCCAGATTTCTTGCATGCCTAGACTTCGTCTCCTGAGATAGAGCTCAGGCTTCCCTTTGGACCCGTTTGATGATGCTGTGATACGGCCTTTATGCTTTCATGACCCAATGCCGAATCTGTGCTCTCTGTTGTATGGCAGGTGCAGGAAGACTGCGTGCAGGTGCTGGACTCCCTGTCCAGGTGCGTGAAGTGGGCAGAGGGCTTCCTGCTGGTCTATTCCATCACAGACTACAGCAGCTACCAGTCAGTCCAGCCTCTCTACCAGCACATACGCAAGGTGCACCCCGATGCCAGGACTCCCATCATTATTGTGGGGAACAAAGCAGACCTCCTCCATGCCAGGCAAGTACAGGCAAAAGAGGGACTACAGCTAGCAAATGAACTGGGCAGCCTGTTCTTGGAAATCTCCACCAGTGAGGACTCCCAAGGTGTGTGTGATGTCTTCCAGTATCTTTGCAAGGAGGTCAGCAAACTACAGCATGCTGGCAGCACGGACAGGAGGCGGTCATCCATCATCCCTCGGCCCAAATCTCCCAACATGCAAGATCTAAAGAGACGTTTCAAGCAGGCTTTATCTTCCAAAGTCAAGTAAACCTCCTGATGAGATCCCATGGGACTCAATAGAGTTTATTTTTGTAAACTAGTTAATAAAAATCTTTATTTTTGTACTAATGCCAGCAGTGTAGAAGTAAGTGTGTCAAAGCTTGCAATTTCCTTGCTGTTCTTTCATTTGACTAGTTGGGTTATTTTTGGGAAAAAAAAAAGCTGCATAGCAACTAAATAGAGGTAGTTGGAAAGGGGACTTTTGCCAGAAGGCTTTGATTAAATTTCTTTTTTCGGGGGACTGGGATTTTCTGTATTAAGCTACTCATATGATTTTCTCTGGGGACCTCGATTTCCTGTTTGTAAAATGGGAGTGTTAATGATGTAAATCATTACCTGCCTCTATACAATGCTTGGAAAGCCCATGGTGGAAAACTTTGTAGGAAACAAAAAAAAGCTCAATTAAATATGAAAATATGGAAGTGTCTGTAAGAGTTCTGGTTATAATAGAACTGCTTTCCTCCCTCAAAGCTGTTGTTTTGCTTGCACCCGTAATAGCCTGAATGCTGATAGGCTGTTGGGAATGAGCTCCAATTTCTGATGTGCCTTAGAGATCTGTTCTACAGAATTAATCATTTGAGCCCCAAGCATTTAATAGGAGGGTTGAGTTTCTCCCACAGATTGCTGTGGAACAAAGTGCTGAGCAATCCATAGCAGAGGAGTGTGTGGGTTGGCTGTTGCTTTCTCTGGAAACATGCGATAGGAAGGACTGATGCGTAGGTTCCCTGGACAGAAAATAGCTACATTTGAAAGGAATCACATCTTTATCTTCCCCAGAGTAATTTCGTAGCTATTGGAAACAGGTCAGACTTTACTCTTACTTCATATAAACTCTAAACCGTACTTAGAATGGGTTTTATTAACTGTTTGTTGGATGTCTGAGCATGGAATGTAGGTTTTGCACTTCCAGGATGCCTCTGAATTATGTATGTGAGAAATAAAACTATTCCATGCTTTGTAGAAAGTGGAAGTGGATAAATCCATACAGGGAAAACTCGCTGTCCTCGCTCAAGCGCAAGTCCAGTAAGGTTTTATTTTGTGAAACCTCATAGATTAAGTCAAAAGACCACTTCCTTCTTTCCTTGCGCTTGGAAAGGCAGGTAGGTGCTGTGCCATGCAGTTAGTGGGCAGTCCCTGTTGTTTCTGATCCCTGGGCCTTGAAGCTCCCTGGGCCACCTTCGCTCTTTGCCTACTGATGTTGGTTATTGAGGGAAGGGTGATTGAGGTAATTGAGGGAAGTTAAAGACGATTCTCTGTGCAGAAGCACCAGAGACCTGTGTGAGCACCGGGCAGGGTGTGGGATGCCAGCAGCACCATTCCCCACCCAGGGCTATGTGCACATCTTCAGTCCAGGCATGTGTCCTCCCTGAAGGCCCTGTGCTGCCCTACCAGAGGGCACAGGAGAGCTGATACCCAGAGCTGCAGGAACAGACTGAAGCTGGGTCCAAAACTCTTGGAGCTAATTCGTGTAAAAAGCATAGTGACAGCCTGGACAAACCAAAGTATGGTTTAAACATGATAATAAAATATTTAACACATGTTAAATATTTCTTCACTGTGAGAGTTGCTCTGCCAGGCCCAGGACTCTGGGCTTGAGGGGTGTAGGATGATGGGGTTCCTGAGAGCAAGCACATCCCTGACAGACTTGAACTCATCATATGGACCATGTGTCCATGGGAAATTTGAAGAGGAATTGATGAGTCGCATGTGGGATATTTGTGAAACATACCATCTTGAAACCAGGATACCAAATTGTTTGCAAGAGAAAATCCCACTCTGGTGGAATTTTGGGTTTTTAACCTGCAGATTTTGTCTTTGGAAATGATATCCTACTCACGTATCCAGTATGGAGTTTTGCCAAGCAAGTTGCTAAAGATACTCAGCGCACACGTGGTACAAAATATGATAAAGGGGCAGGTAATGTGTGCTGGACAAGTCTGCATCTCACCATAGTCCTCAGCAGCTGGGTGAAAAATCACATTAGGCACCGACTTAGGTGCCTCTCACTGCCCCTGGCAAAGCAGGAGCTTGGGTCCCCACTCTGGTACAACAGGGGGAGAGGTTGTGCAGGAACTAGTGGTAAATCAAGGGGCAGGGATGGGCAGGAGCAGGGGGATAAATGCAGTAATTTTCCCCATCTCTCTCTCTCTCTCACACAGGAAAAAGCTAGAGGTGCTACACAGGCACCCGTGCTCAGGTCAAGGTGCAGAACCTCCTGTCTCCACCCCACACTTCTCATGCTGTAGGGCTGCTTCAGCCACGTGTCAGGAGCAGGATGAGCCCCTCAGGGATGTATTGGGGAATCTGGATGACTAGAGCATGCCGATGGCAGGGAGGGAGTGCTGCTCTGATATGCCTCCAATTTAAGGCAGCAGCTGCTTTGGACCACTCTGGGTAACATTTTTGGGCAGAGGTACATAAATTAGGCACTCATGGTGTTTGTCTGAATTTCCCCTGGCTGGCACAGATCTACTCTCACCCAGAAGTTTTCAACCCTGAGCTGACAGGTAAACAACAGGAAAAACCTGCTGGCTCCCAGCACATTTTACCCCAGCATTTTCTTCAATCCCGAGTGGGCAAAGAGGGGCACACCAGGGCAGGGGGGCAAAGCATCTCTCAAGTACTAGCAGAGCAGCTCTGAAGCCTTGTTTCTCCTGGGCCATGGTCACTTATGCCTTCCCTACTGAATACTTGCCATCCCCAGTCTCTAAGCCCTTCACAGAGGGGGCAGGGTGGCTTCAGGAGGGTAAGTAGTGCATAGCCTGGCCTTTCTCCTCGATCAGAAGAAAATATGCCTCTGCCTCTTTCCTCCCACCACCTCCGCTCTGAAACAGAATCACAGCAATTTTGCCTGACAAGATGGATGAGTGGGGTTTCAGAAGCAGGGATATGTGTGGCATCACACTCTATTATGGCTGCTACTACATCAGCATCTCCCCCCTGCTGGACTATTTTGTCTACTTATCTTCAAGCTCTGAAATCATCCAGTAATGCTTTAAGGCTTCATGAATTTTAAAATTGCAGCTGCCATTAACCTGCTCTATATAACCTTCAACTCAGGAGCTGCACATCCCTAGACAGAGGTAGGGATGTTTTCTTTAAAAAGCTTTATGGATGTCCCCTTTATTTTCTGCCCCTCTCAAGCACCTGGACCCAAGCTGCTTCCTCACTGTCTGTTGATGGGGGCTTGCCTCTCAGCACAGGAAATGGTCATGCTGCAGGTTCATGCTATGTCCTGTGGTTTGTTTGAAGGACTGTGGAAGGTGGACTGTGAACAAGGATTGTATTCACACCATGGGCAAGAGTTGGGTTCAAGCTTCAGACAGGGAGCAAAAGTGATTGAGATATGGATGGATGGATGGATGGATGGATGGATGGATGACTGGAAACTAATCCGCATGCCATGCATGGATCTCCTGTAAAGTAATTTTATTCCTGTGGGACTTCATTAGCTTTTGGTGAATGGAAGGTCTGAATAGATTCAGAATAAAGTCCTTTAGGCAAAGGTGACTTTTTATGGCAGTTGCTCTTGACACATGACCACTGGTGATTCACATCAGTACGGCAGCAGGATCTCTTCAGTTTCTCCTGAAGTGAGGATCCAAAGTCTGATGTCCTTCTAGAAGCAATATCTTTGAGAGTGATGCTGTTGTTGTGTCACTGCACCAAACTGTAGGCAACACTCCAAAGACTTGTGTCCCTGAGGTACCTTCAGTAACATCTCTGAAAACCTTGTTATGAGTAGCATGGCTCACAAAACAGCAGCTCAGATCACATCTGGGGTAATTAATGACAATTCAGATTTCCCTGTTGATTCTCAGGCTTGCTCTTCCACCAGTCTCCTCATTTCACCTATCTAAAAAGAGGGAGAAAGCAAAGACTTTTTATTGAAAATGGTTTTGAGGGAATTGGTTCATGAAATTTTCTTACTACATTCAATGTTTGATGCTTTTGACTGAAAGAATAATAAATGTATATTGTGACTTGTTATGCAAGTGTATTCTGTGGAGCATAATCAGCTATATACTATCTTCCCGCACTACCAAAAGAAAAATTAGGATATAGAGATTGAGCTTTCATTTCAGTGCCCTGTGATACTTGATTTACAACTGAAAAGCTACATAGTGAATTTTGCATAATGATTATAGAGCTTCATAGATGTCATAGCTGCTGTTTTGAAAAATGTTCTTGGTGTTTGCTACCCATGTTTTTCCTGTATGACAGAAAACAACCAGCCCTAGGAGCAATCCTCATCCAAGACCCTCCTGGTGTGAGCTGCTGTGTAGAGGTGGCTGTTTCAGCCCCATGCTCTGCCCCTTGGGCTTTGCTGGGCAAGTGTTTGGGCAGAGGTACCCACATACCCAAGCTTGTGGGGTCATGCTTCAGCAACCATATTTTGCTCTTGACCTGTGCACAAGATTTCCATTAAAATGTATCTGTCCGGGAAATTGCACAAGGTTATTTGTCAGCCTGCATTACTGGGAAGCAGTAATTAATTCTTAAAGCTGGAATATTTCTCTTCTAAGGTATTTGGCTCTTTCCACATTACTAAAAACATCCTCTTCTCAGGTTTCAAATGGTCCTTGTAAACATTTCATAGTAATTTTATCCCTTGGGACGGTAAGCCAATAACAACAAATATTGTTTCTGGGAGCAGCTCAGAGAAGAAGGGACTACACTCTCCCCCAGCTGGGGCAGTGAGGTGAATTACAGACTCTGTCCTGCAGCTGATACTTCTTTCCACTCCTGCAAACAAATCCCTGAACAGGCAAAGAAATGTGCCTGTTGTTTGGGGCTCAGAGCCTTTAAGAGCTTTAAGAGTGGTTTGATCTGAACCATGCTCAGCTGGCAGGCCTCCCAATGCTACCATTTCCTTTTGGTGTTAGAAGTCCAAATATCTCTTTTAACCCTAGAAGACAGACTTGGCAGAAGCCCGAGGAGTGCAGAGATCATGGAGAAACCATAGCGACAGCAGCATGATATTGGCAGCCCCTTAGGATCTGAAGCAGATACAGAGGTGTTGCCTTCCTGTAACAAAACAGCAGGCGATAAATATGGATGTGATTAGGCTGCTTTGGTTGAAAATTCCTTGGTAGTATTCAGATGCTGAGAAAGAAAAGGCCTGGCTGTCCCCACAGTGTGCCCAGG